GAGTCTGTACATAACAGTAATGAGCTGTTGACTTTTTCAAGCCAGGAAATGGGATTTTGCAATGTTTTCATCTTATCGAAACAATAAACGTTTGAGAAGGTACGTGTAACCTGACTTAAGCATGCAATGTATGCTTTTATTGGAACACCAGAAGATACTCCAGTAATACATATAACTGCTATCGTTTTAGATGCTTACTAAAAATAAATTTTAATTTTTAAAAAGAGTAGGATAATAAGAAAGGGACATAAAAGTGGGTTTAAAAAGTCCCTCTTGAGTTGTGGAAAAAGCAATCAGGAGGCTGTGATGCCAAACAAACCACAAGAAGGAAGCTTCCCAAGGAGAACTGAATAGAACAAAGAAAAATATGCTGCTGAAATTGAATTTAACTTAATCTTCATACAATTCCTCCAGAACTTTTCATGGAATTTACAAATTGGTTCTTAAGCCTATACAGAAATAACAAAATGCTTCAGCAATACCCAGAAAAATCTGAAGTAGAATAATGCCTAGTAGTCAAATAAACCATGAGAAAAAAAGCCACAGGAAATATCAGCAGCATTGTAAGTATTTGCTAAAACTGAGAAGCAAACACGGTCTTCAGCACATAGGCCTGCAGCTTCTGATGAAGTTGACATTCTGAACCCATGCAGGGGTGGCAAGGTTGGTGCTCATTGAATGACTCTGGGAGAATAAGACAGCAGAAGACAGCATAGAAACTCGACCACATTTGCCTCTAGAAACCTCTAGTAGTGAATGAGCTCATGCTGAGTTGATGCCAGTATCACACCCTTGACTGTCCTTAAGTGGCACATGCTTTAAAGTCCTGAAGTGTGACATTCTTAAATAGAAGTTCCAAGCCTCAGGCATTTAATCACAGAAACACACACACATACACATACACACACACACACACACACACACACACAGAGAGAGAGAGAGAGAGAGAGAGAGAGAGAGAGAGAGAGACAGAGACAGAGACAGAGACAGAGACAGAGACAGAGACAGAGACAGAGGAGAGAGAAGATGGGGGAAGAATCTGCTTACAAGAGTAATTACAGTATGTCTTGGAATCTGATTGGGGGGAAGCCAAATGAAGATGGGGGCAGGGTGATATACTACTTGTATACTTGGATTGAAGATCTGTGTCACTTCAAACAACAATTGCTATGAAGTTAAGAGATAAATTGAGTCAGAGGGAATAATGGGTAGGATAAGAAGGATGAAAGGTAGACTGGAACTTTGAGTAAAGAGAAGACATCATAGATCCACAGCCCTGGGTAGCTGAAGTGGACAGAGGTAAGATAGGAATCTAGAATTTTCCTAGCCAGGCCTGAGGATGCACTTGTAATCCAGTACTAAGGAGGCTGAGGCAGTGAGTCAGGAGTTCCACACTAGCCTGGACTGTTTCACAAACCATGGTCTAAAAGCCAAGAGGGAATAGGATTCACTCAGAATTTAAAAAAAAAAATAAAAACTTAGATTTTGTTTAATGTAATTTGCATTGTTTTCATTTTAGAGTCATAAAAATGGTTATATTTTCAGAATAATGCTATCATTTAAAACCCCATAACTTTCCATAATAACTTTTTACTTTCTATCACAATATTTTTGAGAACTGTCCACAAAGATTTTTGTTTCATAGAAATTTTCAAATGTATTAGTGCTGTAGCATTCTCCTGTTTTGGAGGTGAGAGGAAGTGGAGGCAGGATCTCATTCCGCAGCTCAGGTCGGCCTGGAATTTGCTAGGTCAACTGGGATGACCTTAAAGCAGAAATTCCTTTGCCTCTGCCTCCAGTGTGCTCTGAAATTTAATCCCCTGCTTACATCTTGTTGCATTTCTTTTCTTTCTTTTAAAAATATTTTATTTCATAAATATAGTTTCTGAAGCTTGATTTTGTCTTTTCCCAACAGCATTAACTCAAACATTCTTTCTCTGCAGTCTAATGTGTGTGTGTGTGTGTGTGTGTGTGTGTGTGTGTGTGTGTGTGTGTGTTGTCTTTGACTCTCTTCTAGAACATCTTGAATTGAAGTCTTAGTTCAGTAGTTTTCCTATATTTAATCATGGATTCACTAGCTTTGAGAAGCATGTACTCATTTATAATGTAAGTTTTTATTCTTATTTTTCTGATGTATAACTATAATTTAATTGCTATTTTTGTCTTAAAGGATCATTTGAATGAGAACTTGAATGCTTGTGTTTTGTGCCTTTGCTTTATATGATTTACCTTTTTATTTTGTATTGCATAGCAGCAGAGCTTTATTTTGATGGTGTATTGAAGCAATCTGTGATTTGTGACGTGTGAGTAGACCTAGACACAATGGTAAATAAAATAGGCCAGGCACAACAAGAAATACAGCAGGCTTTTCATTACATGTGGAATCTGAAATATCTGGTCTAAGAGGAGCAGAGAGTAGAGTTCTGGTTTCCTATGGCTGGGGAAAGAGGGGAAACACTGCCCAAAGGATATAAACTTCAGTAAGATAGACAGAATAGAGGAAGGGATGACTATAGTAAATGAACATGTATTTCATTCCTGAAATTTTTTTGAGTAGATGTAAAGTATCCTCATCAATTAAAAAGATATACAAAATAATACATACTATTTAGTTTGATCAAGACATTCAATAAGATACTCATATTTTAAAATATCATAATATATTGCAGTATATATGTTTTCTCTTGTCATTTAAATAACAGAATAAACCAAAGGCCTGAGGTGGAAATCTGCTATAAAGAGGTTTTGTAAATGCTGTAGTGTCCTAGGCACTGGGACCCTCAGTAAGGACCTGTCTGCAGACACGGGGTCCCTGCAGCTCTCTCTTAAGTTGGACTTTGGTGGATTACTTTAGATTTACTTCATTTTGTAAATTAAAATTTCTTCTCTATAAAAATTCACTCAAAGAAATGAGACTTTGTAACTGACAGCAATAGCTTGGGACAAGATGCAAAAAGAACAAATGACAATAAAAGGCTGTCATCAGGCGTAGCCAGCACCTTCCTAAAGGGATTTGAGTTTATGTGTCGTGACAGCAGTAGCTCTGCCCAGGTGCTGATGTTCTGAAAACCAAACAGTACTCCTAAAATCTGCATACTGCTTTGATACTTGCAAAGTGCCAATTTTATGTTTGAAACTCTTCAGCCAACCATTTGTTTTCCAATATCCGTAATTGAAGAGTCAAGCCATTAGAAATAGCACATTCTATCTGAAAGAAATAGGTGACCGGAAGATATTGCCCAGCTTCATCAGATCCTTCCTGAACACTTGCAAAGTACACCTGAAGCATCCTCTTGTTGTGTTTTGGTGGTAACTCTGGTTACATGAACTCTTAGGAAGTGACTCTGAAGGAACAATTCTAGGTCACAGCAGAAGACTCCCAAACTGAGTCAGGCATGCAGGTCAGTGGAAGAGCACTGGCTTAGCACATACAAACCTTTAGGCTCCACCCCCATCACCAATGAATAAATAAATAAACAAATAAATAGCTTATTTGTAATGTGTTTAAGAAATATTTGAAAAGCTTATTGATACATAAAACTAGAATGGCCTATAGCACTCATTGAAAATTAGAATAAGGAGTATCCAATTAAAAACACATCTAGTCATAAACTGTCAAGATCTTCTCTGGTCATCTTTCTTTAAAAAAATATGTCTGTATGTGTGGGCCTGTGTGTAGGTATATGGACATGTGTGTTACAATAAATTTTTCCGCCATAAGCCGCCGAGTCCCACTGACACGTGTGCTTTATGCCAGCCGCCTGCCAGAGTTAGGGCCCAAATTAATACACAGAGAGACTTGTATTAGGTACAATGCTGCTTGGCCAATGACTAGGATTCTCATCTGTTATCTCAGTCCCAATTATCATACATCTATATATTTTATAAGACTTATCTTATCGGATGCCTTATTGGCATCCCTCCTTGCCGGTAGATCACATTGCCCCGCTGGAAGAAAAGCAAAGGGGAAAAGGGACACTTCTTGTTTCCTTTGCTTAAATATGAGTCTCCTTGCTATGTCACTTCCTGCCTGGATCACCACTTCTCTACTACATTTCCCAGAATCCTCTTTGACTCTTAGTCCTGTCTAACTTGCTGTCATTGGCCAAAAAGTATTTTATTCAACAATAAGATAAACATACACAGTACATTCCCCATCACATGTGTGCAGGTGTCTGTGTGTAGGTATATGGACATGTGTGCAGGTGTCTGTGTATAGGAACATTCCCCATCACATGTGTGCAGGTGCCTGTGTGTAGGTATATGGACAGGTGTGCAGGTGTCTGTGTGTAGGTATATGGACATGTATGCAGGTGCCTGTGTGTAGGTAGATGGACATGTGTGCAGGTGTCTGTTTGTAGGTATATGGACAGGTGTGCAGGTGTCTGTGTGTAGGTATATGGACAGGTGTGCAGGTGTCTGTGTGTAGGTATATGGACAGGTGTGCAGGTATCTGTGTGTAGGTATATGGACAGGTGTTCAGGTGTCTGTGTGTAGGTATATGAACATGTGTATGGGTGCCTGTGGAGGCCAAACAAGGGCATAGGATTACATGGAGCTGGAGTTACAGATGGTTATGAACTGTGCTACATTGGTGCAGCAAACCCAACTAGGATCCTCTGCAAGAGAAACATATGCTTTTAACTGAGCCATTTCTAAAGTCCTGTAGTCATCTTGTTTTTTTTTTTTTGTTTGTTTGTTTTTTGTTTTTTGTTTTGGTTTTGGTTTTGGTTTTTCGAGACAGGGTTTCTCTGTTTAGCTTTGGAGGCTATCCTGGCACTCCCTCTGGAGACCAGGCTAGCCTGGAACTCACAGTGATTTGCCTGCCTCTGTCTCCCGAGTGCTGGGATTAAAGGTGGGTGCCACCAACACCCGGCTCTAGTCATCTTTCTTAAGAATGAATTTTTTACTCTGTCTGTCTGTAGAGTTGTGCTATTTTCAAAAAGCAGCATCCTGTTGTGTTTGCCAAGTTACTTCCTTTTTACAAACAGAAACTTCATAACACTTATATGTACTTTTGCTATACTTATGGACAAATACTCACAGACTGATGTTAAAAACTAATAATAATTCTCTTTTATAAGCCAAAACTCAGTGTTTGATGTGAGTTTTGATACATGTATTAAGGAATATTGTGAAAAGAAGGTAAAGATATTTAAACACATTTTTCATTTATTTGCTAAAGGCTATACATCATCATGAATGTATTTAAAACTATGGAACTACCCAGACATTCAGTTTTCTCCAAGGGGACAGAGTCCTTGTGCCAATTCAATGAAGTCACAGATTTACACAGTTTTCTTTATTCATCTCTATCACTGATTCCCAGTCTCCTTTTTTGGCCAAGCTTCTTTGTCCACAAATACTTGGTGCCACTGAATTCCAGTCTCATGGTCTCCTGCTTCCCAATATAACCTTTGCCTAGACAGTCTATAATCATGGCTTAATTACTTCCTACCTAGATACCTTACAAATAGCATCCAGCCATCTTTCCAAAAGACATGCATCATAGTATTTGGCAATCTAACTATTTCTAGAGCACCTGCTACATGTATAATTACAATGTTCAAATTGAGAAAACAAAATTAAACAGTGACAGCAGGATTGAGGAGTCAAAAGCCTCCTCAGTTGTCATCTTTCAGAAGTTTTTAACTCTCACTGCATATGTAAATAAGTTCAGGCTTTCCAGGCACACTGTCTCTCTGTCACCCTTCAATGACCACCTTGTGATTGTATTCCCACTACACACACACACACACACACACACACAGAGAGAGAGAGAGAGAGAGAGAGAGAGAGAGAGAGAGAGAGAGAGAGACCACTGCTTTCTAATCCTTAGCTGTTGGAAAAGAATGTGACCTCAGTTCTTTCAAACATTGTCAGAGAGACACCTGTAAGTCAAGATTATGCAATCAAGTCATTGAGTTTCTTAGGCCACAATAATCAGTATCACTGTGGATATATATATATGCTGAACCCGGCCAATGAGTACATTCTTTTTCCCCCTGTAGCCACAAAGATTTTCAGGGACAGACTTAAAGGCCCATGGTGGTCTAATTATAAGGGATCATGAGACAGAAGTAAGAAACAAAGCCTTTTCAGCTGGATTGAAAGCTGCAATAAAATGTCAACTGAAGTCAATCTTGTCACCCAAGAATACCAAAGAGAAACCTAATCATGATGTTTTGATTATAGACACAAAATGACTGTAAGCAATACAGAATAAGGGTTTATTACCCAGTGGAGACCTGGGCCAATTTTCAAACCTCTTAAGAAGAATTTATGAATGCTCTTGCCTCGATGTTAGGGGATTCTTCACTTAAAAGGCAAAGCTGTGGCCAGGTGATGGTGGTGCACACCTTTAATCTCAACACTTGGAAGGCAGAGGTAGGCAGATCTCTGAGTTCGAATCCAGCCTAGTCTACAAAGAAAATTCCAGAACAGCCAGAGAGAAACCCTATCTTGAAAAACAAAAGCAAAAAGGGAAAAAGGAACAAAGCTAAGCATGAAAGTCAAGAAAGTCAGAACCAGTTCAGGCAGAAGAATCAATGAAGACAAACAGGACACCTAGTACTAATGGGAATTAGAATCTGTCTCTTACTACTCAATCTTTATCAGGTTGGGTGCTCTACTGACGAAGGTGGTATTTCACTCAACAGAGCTACTCGTGCTCTGAACAGGCCCAATCAATTTGCCTTGTTTACTCAGTTACTTTTAAGGCACTTGTAAGAAAAAAAAGAATTACTTATACATTACAGCTTCAATTGAGATCTTCATTTCTAAATTCCCTTATAATAACTCTTTCCCCAGCATAAAGTTGGTATTGAGCATTTTAATTTTGGTAGATTATTTTTTAAATTGACAAACCATTACATGAAGTTATAGACCATGATGCATATTTCAAAGTGTAACACCTGCAGCTTCACTTCTAACTTGTGAATCCTGCTCACTCTTTGTTTGTGGCAAACCCTGATATAAAATCATGAAAAAGAGTGATCAATTACTCCAACTCAGTGAGAATGGCATTATCAAGCTAGAATTCTGTCAAACCAAGGAGCCCAGATATACAGACAACTTGATCCCATTAATACCCCTCTGGATCAAGCTAACTTTAGAATTTTCAGGCATGTAAATCAAACCCCCTCATAATAAGCAGTTTAATTTGGGTTTTCTCACTTGCTATCAGAGCATACAAAAGCTGGCAGCAGAATGAGCATGACAGTAGTAGGCACTGAATTCTTAACTGGCAGAAGCAAGAAGAGAGAAGTCCAGTGTTCCCAGACTTGAAATATGGCAGCACCTGTGGTTTGACCTCAGAGGTTACAGGTAGCAGATGAAGGCCTGGTCTAACCTGATGCAACAGTACAAATAATCCTGAAATGGAAAGTGTCAGTTAGGCACATCATTTCTAGAGATTCTCATCTTCACAAGTCTCATAAACAAGTTCATGTTAAAGTTGGCTCATCTGAGTGAAAACTGGGAAACAATAGGCTTCACTAAGAAATGTGTTTCTTACCAGAGACTTTCTGTTCAGGATGTTGGAGAGAATGAAATTCTTGAAATCAAAATTCTCTTCTCCAGCTGAAAGCAGGTAAAGCAGGGACACAGGAACAAGAGAGAGGGGTTCAAACCTTCTCCATATCCATTCTCCTTAGGAAATTCCATCCACTATGCAGCCCAAATCAACCTCAAACTCAAATGGTCATCCTGCCTCAGCCTCCAGAGAGCTGAGGACTGCATGCTCACTCTGCAACATTATCTGGAGATCCTAACTTAAGCTACTTAGAATGGGGAACAAATGCCTAAGCCCCAACACTACCCCAGAGGTGAACTTGGGATTAAGGACAGGAGTGGCTGAGTCTCCCACCCCAGACATGTGATAAACTGCCCAGATAAAGGCCAAAAAGGATATGAGCAGAACAACATGGTAGCCCACATTAGTTAACAACTCTGGTGACTAATTCTAATACAAATGCTGCTATAGACTTCTGGTCTTTGGTAACATGGTGGAGAATTCTGATATTCGATCTGTCTAGATTATGAAGTACCTAGGAAATTCATAAGCACATCTCTTGGTGTGTTTATGAGGGTGTTTCTAGAGATAAGAATCATGAAGACTTCGATATAATGAATGAATTGATTCCTTCTCAGATTTATAATGCAATGGCATTATTGGAAGATAGTGAAAGGCAGGAGTTGGAGTCCAGTTGGAGAAAGTAGGTCACAGCTTTGTGTCCTTCTGGATTTCATTTGGACTTCCATGACATTCCTGTATGTTTTGTATCCACTTCCTGTCTACTCTGATGTGAACTGCTCTGATCTGCCCAGTCCTCCCCCACCATGGTGAAATGAAACTTCAGAAGCTATTGATCAAAATAAATGCCTCTGCTTTTGAGTAGCTTCTTGCCAGTATTTTTTCAGAGTGATGAAAAAAGCTATTAATGCACCCCTCGACACTCATAAAAGTAACAAGTAAATCCATCAATTCACATCCCAAATGCTGATTCTATTGGAAAAGGAATCGATGAAACATAACTCATTTTCACATCTCCCGTATGACTACTAAGGACAAAAACAAAAGAAAACTAAAGAAACATCCAGAATATCAGAACCAAGGCAATTCATTAACACCTGTTGACAAAAGAACCAATCCAGTGTCAATCCAGAACAAGGAATCTCTGTTAACCCTTCTGAGCCACATGTGATGTTTATAAAAGACCCTTGACCATTGTGCTTTTCTTCCTACACTCTCCATCCAATGAGAGCTTAACTGTAGATACTTTCATTCTCTGTCAATATGTCTATCACATGATTGGACACTGTGTGCCTTTAGACTCTTGGCTTTTGTAGACACAAAGGTTCTACTCCAAACTGATAAAACATTGATGTTGATGAGAGGAACTGTGTGGAGTAACAGAGAGTAAGTATTTAGGAATAAGGGACAGTTTATATGTTATGTGGTGCATTGGTTTTGTTGAATGCCTCCCAAAAGTACATGTTTCCAATGGTGACAATGGGAGGTACTTTGGACATTTAAATTTTTGGTCCTACTAGGAGGTCATTGGTAGTGTTTCCTCGAAGATATTTTGATATCTTATTCTATTGTGTCATTCTCTTTGACTCTTTCTCAATTGTTTTCCAATAAGCATTCCTTGACATGATGAATTGCCTTTATTAGATGCACAAAATAGTGAAGTCACTCCATCTTAGGCTGGAACCTATAGAATCATGAACCAAAATAAACCACTTCCCACTAGTTCATTATCACAGGCATTATAGAATAAAAAAAAAAAAAAAAAAAAAAAAAAAAAAAAAAAAAAAAACAAGACTGCAGGTGGCCAAAGGAATGGTCTATGACAGATCTTGTTTGTTTTCCTAAGCTATCGGACCCATCCCCTTGTGTTAGTCAAGGGAGAGGAGGGCCTTTGTTTTCAGCTTCAGAGGGTTGGATCATACGACTAACCTGGAAAAATAGTGACTGAACTAGTCCATATCAGAAGGGGTCAAATTGAGGAGTGGCCACAGCTGTATTGTCTCTATATTGAAATCAAGGGAAGATGCAGATTTAAAAATCAGCTGGTCAGAAGGGAGTGTCTAGCTCAAAACACACAAAACACAAAGGAATTTGAGATAAGCAATGAAAAGAAACAATGTGGATCCTGTTAAACACATAAGCCCTAGAAACTACAGACCAAACAAATTTATCTAAGCACAAATTTTCCCAAATATAAGCTAATTAACTATTGTTTTTGTTAAAAACACCTGAGGTTCTACAGGAACAGCTCCTGTTAACTCACAGAAACTCATCTACTGATTTACTCCTTTGCTAAAACTTCCCAATTCCCGGAATGGATCTGTGTGCCTCCAATGCCACTGCCATTCTTGAAACAATAACTAAAATGTGTGATCTATTATGTGTACCTTAGATATGATAACGAGGCTGTATCAACTATGGGGGATTTGTTGTTTTTCATACTCACAGCTGCTTTAGCATTCTGCAGAAAATCACTATGCATCAGTTAATGTGATTTATAGCATGATGTAGGCAATAGCAACTACATAGTCATTTCTGAAACATAGTCATTGAAAAAAATCTCTTTACAGAGTGCCACTTGTTTTGCAACTGGAAAGCTC